TACAAATCTTTATGCAAGATAACGTACAAACTATAATAGTACAATTTAAGCTATATCGATATCGATATCTCATTGATCAATATGCTACCATTACCTAACCAATCGTATTACTATCTCACATAATGAATCTTGATTTAGTGTATCGTCATGCAATCAGAAAATTCAAAACAAACATTCATTTTGACAAAAACCATCTTTATCTCAATATTTTGCCTAAGCCCTGCACTAACAAAAAAATTCCTTGGGCAATTTTACTATAGCCCCTTAATCTTAACATCTGTTTAAACGCTGTGCTGATAAGAAACCTAAAACTATTAATGTTGATCAGGGTTGGGCAATCGGGCAAGTTGGTTGTCTGATAAAATTTACATTTCTAAAATTGTTTGTAATTTCTTTTAGAAATAAGAAACCTTCGCTCAAAGTCAAGCAAACTAAATAATTAGGACAGTAATACACTGCCAATTTTTATACTATATATGTTAATAGATCAATGGACGCTGGACAAATCTATATATCCGGTGTCCAGTAAAATTCATCGGACAGAGAGGTTGCCCAACCCTGATGTTGATTATAGGCATTGAAATGTTGACCTGCCTTAATTTCTATTGACGAACTGCTCATATGGTCCTATATTGGCTCTTATATGTAAATTTCCCTTAAAAGTTTCTTTTATTATCAATTGTTATGATTAATAGAAGTAATCCCCCTGATAATTTTAATAAAATAATAAGTGGCAGTAAGCTTGGACCAATCTTTCATTTTTTTCGAATAACCTTTACTAAAGGAAGATTTTATATAATACAAAGGTAGTTTCTTATATTGAAGCTTCAACTTAAAAAAAATACAAAGAATTTTCTTATCAATATCTTCACATTATATACGCGTTCGCGTTGTCTGAAAAAAATCATTGGCTAAATCGCAATGTTTTTAATTTCCATTTTCATAAAATATGATTGGTTAAAATTGAAATATTTTTAATTTCCATTTCCATTTTCGTAAAAAAATATGATTGGTTAAAATCACAATGTTTTTAATTTCCATTTCCATTTTCATAAAAAATGAGGGTAGTAAAAATGCATTTGATGAGCAAGCACTAATAGCAACCAATAAAATTCCATCGAGACATGGATTCTACTTCAGAAAAATACCTTGCTTACTTGTATAAAAACTAACAAATGTGCAAAAAATTATTTCTGCAAGTTAGCGATGCAAGCTCTTTATTTATGGAGCAGTATTTTCTTTGGAAAGCATGCTGCAAACTGTAAGTTAATAAATAAATAAAATGATATTATATGTTTTGTATTCTAATTTCTATAATCAGTAAATTTCTTACAGATTTGAGATGTGGAGTAGCAATAATTTTAATAAAGATTTCATGACTACGTTAAATGAAGGTACCTGGGAGCATTTCGTATTACACCCATTATTTGATATTTTGATGTTAAGTCTAGATAAATGCATGTTACGCTGGTATGTGAGAATATGCAATTATTACAATTATTTAAATAATCAAATTAAATTGTTATGTGTTTTTTTTTTGTGTTCGAACTTTAATTTAGGGGAGAAAGTACATCAAGTACATCAAAGTATCGGAAGAGTGAAAATATAAAATTTGAGAAGGAAACTCGTGAACAGTTTGATCAGATAATGGCACCGTTTCTCACGTCTTCACAAGCAAAGAAAGAAGATACCTGGATTGAGATGATGATTGCAAAAAATCTCCATGAAATTGTATTTGCTGAAATATCTGGGTCACCCTTTCAAGCTACATGTACTACTAAAAAGGTGTATAATGATAAATGTAAATTAATACGCTTTGGACATGATTCAAAAAATAAAATGCTCGATGA